TCAGCTTTTTGGGCAGTTCATCTTAGTAGTGGGTTGATTTTTGGTTGCCAACCACTTTGCTAGCTCATCGAGAGGAGAGTAGATGTTGGTATTTGGTCTGGGTGGGCCAAGATTGTCACAGGAGCATGATGTTTTGGGGGTGACCCTAGGGTGCCACCCAGAAATGGGCATTTCATTTATACCTGATTTTTTTTTATTGTCTTCTAATTTTGCCAAAATTAATACTTCCAATCATTTCTCATTGTACTTATTTTTGTATAAGGGAGTAATTTATTAGCATATCTTTGAAGCATATATATTTTGTCTATATGTTTCTTGAGGTATGGACATCTAATAATTCCTGCATATTCTAACTTGGGTCTCATGTATGTCATGAAAATTATATTAAGCCTTTCTCCATCCATGTGTATGTGCTTGTGTGAGAAAATGAGTGAGATGGTGAGTGCGTGAATTTAAAACAGTGACCGAATAGATAAAAGAAGAGCTAGTGATGGGGGTATGTAATTTTCTCCTTGCTTGGTGTGCATTTTTATGTATATCTGTTTATATTTTGTTTTGTGTATATAAAAGGTAAATGTACATTCTAAGACAGTCTAAGAAAGAAGAGGCTATATAATGTTTCCCAATGAAATCTGTGTCATATTACTTTCTTTTACGGTTTTTCTCCCCCAGCACTGCAGACTTGCTGAGTTTAGCATGGATTCCTGGGTCATTTGTGCTTCTTTTGAATACCTTGTTGGTTCAGATAACTTTTTATATCTAAAGAATGTACAAATATTTTTTATGGACTTTTGCTTTCCCTTGTAGTACTTTAATCAAGATTCTTGTTACTTTTTATATGATTCTGAAGCTTAGGTTTGATGATTTTTGCAGTAGGTCTATTGGAAAATATTTTAGAAAATGGCATGATGCAGCATTATATGGTAAAAGTAAGGGCTTGTGATATATTTTAAGAAGCATGGAATGGTCCCCAGTGTGCACCAGCTTTGCATAGTATCAATGTTATTTTGCACAATTAGCCTTTGGGGAAGACTAGGCAAAATTTCAGGGTGTTAGAAATGAACTTTCTGAACACAGTATTTTCAAGCATAAAGTGCATTTAGCTGGAAATCCCCCATCCCCCATAATAGCTAGAAACTGCCAACATTTATAACTATATGGTTTAATATTTTTTGGTAAATTAATTTTATTTTGCCATTTTGTCGTGAAGGGCTTTTCTTCAAAACATTATTTGCAAAAGTAGTGTTACTGAACATGAGACAATCTTGAAGCAAGATCATCATTCTTAGCAGATTTTATACTCCATATTAATTTATTTTGAGGCATGCTTGAATTCTTAATAAGAAATAGCCACTCTTTTTGCAAGATATTCATATACAGTACTGTTCAATATTCTTAGGTATAGAATAAGGAAAATGTTGTGTGTGGATACTGGGAAGCTGTGTGTGTACATATTAAATATAAAAATACAGTATACAGAAATGCAGCTGGCTTTCTCAGTTTATGGTTAACATAGATAGATAACTATTCTTGTCGAAAGATCTTAACGACAACAATTATGGAGATACACTGTATGTACAAGTACTAATAAGACATCCAAATAAGATGGACTGTGTAATTTTGCTTAAGAAGAGTAACACACCTCTGCATAATTTATATACAGAACTCCCTCAAAAATCTAGATGTCTATATTAAAAAAAAAAAAATCTACCCACTGGATCTCTGCTCTGAAATTTGGATTTGTTCAGTTAAAAATCCAGATTTTGCTGGAATATGTGGTGAAATCTGGATCGTCAGTTTATGTTAAATAACTGAACGTCAGTTTTATATGACAACTCCATGGTGCACATGGCAAAAATAATTTTACTTTCTAATACCGTATTATGAAAATATGTTCCCTGATCACAAACAAATTTACAACAAAAATGTTTATGTAGCTTACTTTGATTGTGGTGTAGAGGGAAAATCTCACAATGACATCACTGATTTACGAGCGCAGATGGATGAAATACTCCATCCAGGTTGCCCAGGCCAGACGGGTGGCGGGAGTTGCTGCAGATATGTATACTGATTTATTTCAGTATCATTGATTTGTTTTTCAGTTTTTTGCAGTTATGTTATGCAATAGTGTGTAATTTGCAAAATTTTGTAATTAAACATGCAGAACATAGATACACACAAATCCATTCATATCGCTAATATATGCATAATACTGCATTCTTTGGACAATAAAAGATACTGCTTTTCCTATCTGTACAGTATTCACATGATGTACATAACTATCTACATGTTTCTGCAATTGTTACGAATCACTAAACAATTATGGTGAGTGTGATAATCCCGTGACCATTAATCAAAGGTCAGCTTATCCCCCACATTTTGCACTAAGATGTAACAATACACACTGAATGTATTTTGTTGTTTATTTTTAATGTTTTACTGTTGGTTTTTTCAAGTTCAATGATGCATTGGGTTAATAATGTTATCTGTATCACAGAATGTGTAGAACATTGGTATGCAGAAATATTTGAGTAATATGCACACCACAGTATATTATTAAAACACTAAAACATGCTGTATTTGCTGTTATCACTCTGTATTCACATGTTATTTATAACTACTGTGCACGTTTATGCACTGTTGTGAACCAATTAAAACAAAATAGTGGATATTTTCTAATAAGTCATCTTCAACTGAAAATACTGTACCTATCTCTGCAAGATAAATATTTGTTGATGCAATCTTCCACCTGAGTATCCATGAAAATGTTGTACTATACTTGCATCTTAAATTTTCTTTATATTTTTGAGAAAGTAGTGTGATATAAACAAAAAATTCCACAAAAACCGAGAAAAGTCCGCAAAGCTTCTTACCATATGCAAAATTTTCCTTATGATATTTAAATGAATCAATTACTGTACTTAAATCATAAGTGCTGTGTAGAAAATTAAGAAGATTCATTGTTTTTCCAATGAAGCTTCTTTAGGAATAACAAGGACTGGATACATAGTGGATCTTCTGTAGCACCAGCCAGCAGTGTACCAGTGGACAAACAGCATGTCAAACAAACAAAATTATTGTCACTAAAGAGGCTTATTGCCAACCAACAGTTGGGTGATTGAGTAAGTAGTTTGGCAAGTGCAAAGATTGCTTCATTCAGATGAAAATATTTAGAAATAGCAGTAAAAGCAAGTTTTATACATCTAGGTTTTATTATATTAATATTAACTTATTTGAAATTCTTTGACAAATACCACACCTGGATGACAAGTGCGGCATTCAGTTACAGAACCATTCGGTAGCCAAATTGTCTTTTTAAACAATTCCTCTCTGTTTACCCTGTGCAATGAACGAATAATTGTATGAATAATAATTATATTTTGCATTAAGATTGAAGAATCGTTTATTTTGTAAAAATTTCGGTAAATGTTCCATCATTTTTACTGTTAATGATAAGAGGAAAGCATTTGCAGTATTATGTATTGCAGTATAAGCAGCTCTTAACTTACAAACAGGATACATTGCAAAAAGGCATTCTTAAGTCAGCTCCTTGTAACTTTGAACTCAATTCCCATAGGCACAATGCTATAATTGGGGATGTGTTCCTGGGTCAGAAAATATAAACTTATAAAACTTCTATTTTTGGGACAAATAATATTAAAAAATGCTGTCATTTGTTTACCTCGATTATTTAGTTACCCTGTTTGCCTGATTTAATACTTTATGAAGAGTGAAGGTTTACTACAGGTGGTGATGGTAAGAGGTGATGATTTATGGGTTCTGCAGCACCACCAACATAACTTATCTTATCAGCCAATATTAAGGCAGTTTTTCTCAATAAACAACTGATTTGGTGCATATCTTGAGCATTAGTAGCATTATAATTTCACAGTATCTGTGGTGTAGTGGTAAGACACTCGCCTGGCGTTCCGCGAGTGCTTTGTCATGGGTTCGTATCCGGGCCGGGGTGGATTTACTGGGCGCAAATCCTTAACTGTAGCCTCTGTTTAATGCAACAGTATAATGTGTACTTGGTTGTAACAACGATTCTTCGCGGCGGGGATCGTATTCCAGGGGCCTGCCTGAAATGCTATGCGTACTAGTGGCTGTACAAGACTGTAACAACTCTTGTATATATCTCAAAAAAAAAAAAAAAATAATGTGGAGACTTCAGAATTTGATCATATACAACAGAGGCATAAGAGGTTAAAATGAAAATTTGGGAGACCATTGTAAGTCGGGGGACCCTAACAAACGTAGGAAATATATGGTATGAAAGTAATGTTATGATATGATGCTGTATAGTACAGTATCCACTGTCATTGCCATTTCTAAAAATGTAATGTAATCAGTAAAGATGTTTCTTTGCACATGTATCAGCTAACCCACTCACTGAATGATTGGTTGGTGATGAACCTCTGTAGCAGCAATTGTTGTTAGTCTGTGTTGTTGTTTCCCTCCGTCACACCACTGGCTGACCCGCTCTGTAATCACTCCCTGCTGTTCCGGAAAAAGTCACTTTGGAAAATGTGGAATAAATTGAGATGCCAGCTCTTTACAGTACTTCAGTATTTTGCCATCACTTCTTCATTCTATTCCGTGCCTTGGAGTTATATACTATTACAACTGTTGAATGTTTTATGTTGATTTGTATTCCTTATATTAATTTGTTTTTCTGTTTTCAAAATTTACTAATTTGATTTTTTAAACACTAAATCTTTTTTTATAAGTGTAGTGTTAATGTTAAATACTTTCATCTTAATACTCTAGCACATGTTCATTGTCTTAAATTTGAGTTTAGTTACCTTGTGAGTTAACTAGATTCTTACAAAATATTAATATGGTGTCTGTACAATTAAGGCCCATGTAGAATAGCTTTTCAGTTATTTTGATCATATATTTTGTAAGTAATGTTCTGTACTGCGCAGTTAAATTTATGATAATCTCCTTTAAAGAAGTACTTAATGTTATGTTTAATGAGGATAACCTTTTTTCTTCAGAATACTTCCAACAAACTAGAGCTAGCCCTTGATGAAGATTCTATTTTCTACAAGCTTGGCAGTTCTGGACTCATCTCCTTCTCAGATTTTATCTTTCTGCTTACTGTCCTGTCAAGTAAGTGGAAAATACACTAATCTATTGGAAGGTCTTTTGTAATTGTATCTGGCTCCTGCTCCCAGTAGTGTGAGATGGTCACATATGCCTGGCGAATTGAGTTGATATTGGTCCTGAAATGCCATTGCATAAGCTCTAGGAAGCCACTGACTGGCCCCCATAATGGTAAGTTTTATTACACTTAAACTATTCTTCTACATACTGTATAATCAAATCCACAGGAGCTGTGATGAGGGTTCGAAACTATGCGCAGGGTATTCCCAGATGCACGCTCTAGTCGACTAGAGCATGCATCTGGGAACACCCAGCGCATAGCTTCAAACCCTAACCCCTTGGCTCCTGTGGATTTGTTCGATATATCACAATAATGTGATTTCTCTGTGTATACTGTATAAAAGTAAAATTTATTTGCACCCTAACAATCTGTATTTTGTTGATTTTCCTTTAGCTTTGATGATATAAAGTGTTTCCTGTAGCATTTTCTTCACCCTTAATATGAAAGGTATGTAAATATTTACTGGTAATAATTTATTAGGTAAAAGAGAGAGACCCCAGAGAGTGGTGTGGGGTGAAAATGAGAGGGAAAGGATTCCAGGAATCAGAAAATCTATCTTTCAGATTAAATAAATTCCACTTTCAGTGAAGGGATTCATTTAATGATTTGTTTGTTCAAGGAGAGTGTTTGGTTGTACAGGTACATGTTGTATGCCTCCACTAAACATAATAAACCTAAACATAAGTGTTGCAGGCTGCTCTAGATACTTCTATGGGTTACAATAATAGGTTTTCAAGCATTTTTACAGAATTTTTTGATTGCAGCTACCATGTTGAATAAACTGCTGCTCTTTATTCCAGCATCTCGTCGTCACTTTGAAATAGCTTTTCGTATGTTTGATTTGAATGGTGATGGAGATGTGGATTATGAGGAATTTGATAAAGTTGCAACATTAATTCGCAATCAGACAAGCATTGGAGCACGTCATCGAGATCATGCCAATACTGGAAATACATTTAAAGTTAGTCCTAATGATATGTAAATTAAAATGTGATCAGATATAGTAATTTACTTTGATAGAGCTCATTAATTTGATAAACATGAAATACAATCTTCAGATAAGGATTACTTAATGTATTGTGGATATCAGTTTCCAATTTAAAATAAGAATCGACTGAATATAAACGTTTAAATTTCCATGCATTGCAAACTATAACAATTACATTTTTGGATATTGTTCTTTTAATTTCAGGGTGTGAATTCTGCCCTCAGTACCTACTTCTTTGGCCAGACACTAAGGGAAAAGCTAACTATTGAGAAATTTCTGTTCTTTCAGCAGCAGCTACAACAAGAAATTCTCAGTTTAGAGGTTGGTAGACTTCAGTCTGTGCTTGAATCTGTATATGTACTTCATTTTTGTGCAATCTAACCTCAGATATCCAGACAAGATCTAGGTCAAATCGTGCCCGAATTTTGAATGCTGTGCAGACTTTGAAACACTTATCTTTATATCTACCTATAAACATATTGCATCGCTTTATCAATGTTTTAATTGAGTTTATCCAAAGTGATTTTGCCGAAGAGCCCCAGAGGACAGGCTAGATTCTAAAGATAATTTTTATAATGGAGGAATTCAGTGGTAGTGTGTTTACCATAACAGCAGGAAAGAAGTGGCCAAAACAAATTTATTCAGCAGGGCACGAGGAAAGCTTCGGAAAAGAAATTAAAGACATGAACTGTGTACAAATGAAGACCTAATCCTAGAGCCTGTAAAAACACTTAGATCAGGAGTGTGAGAAAAAACACAAAAGATTTTAAAAGTAATGATTTAATATTCACCACAACCAATAATACTTCTGTAAGATCTTTCCAGTCTCCCTCTCTTCACTTTGATATGGCAAAAATGAAGAGAGGGAGACTGAAAGATCTTACAGAAGTTATCAACAAAATCTGGGCTACTCGGGCAAACAGGTAATTAATTATGAAAAGAAGGCACCAAGCCGGGGATGCTATTGGATTGAGATTTCTCAAGTGTTCTTTATGCATCATTATGACCTGGTAGAGAAAAATTGAAAATATAATTCCAGTACAGATACAGATTATTGACCTTTTTCTGGGGGCAGTAAGTTTCTTGCCTTAGAGAGCAACTGACTTGCTTTGAAGAGTGATTTTCAATTTAAAACAATATTTTTGTTTATCCTGAGAAATGATGTCCAGGGCAAGCCTCTCTCTTGATCAGCTACAATAAAAACATAGTATTTAATATAAATGGTGCACGTGCCAGCTTTCTAGTCATTACAAAGATTTACTTTTTGCCAAACTTTGACAGTCGTCTGAATTTGACAAGTTTTTAAAAAATATCAAAATTTTAGATGGTTTCAACCTTTGGATGACTGGATTTTCAAACTTTGACTGCATGCGGTATTTTTGCCATCACGAGCAAAATAAATAGATTTTGTATGAACATTCAAATAATGAGAATGAAGTGTAATACAGTTTAGTAGACTGTATTATCATTCTTTCTTGGATCAGTAGTAGGAGACAGTGCTTACCTATTAGTTACTATGAGGGAGTGAGATCTAGCTCTTTAACCCTGCCCCCAACCTGTTTATACCTGGCTCACTAATTACCTCTCAACATTAAAATTTTGCCCACCCTCCAGCATGGGTGGGCATCCTGACATGCGGGGTCAGGATGCCACATGGGGTATACAGAGAATGGGAAAACGCTGGTGCTCATTTTAAAACAAGTCTCGTAGTATTCGGATAATAAATGGAATTTTTACAAATTGTTAAATTATTGACACTGTTTGCGTCATGCCGCATACTCCATATTTTGGTTTCATATTGGAATATATGTGATCGGACAGCGAAAGTGTTAAATGGTTAAATGACTTTCCTATGTTTGCTAATTTCCCATGTACCACTGATATACTGTTCACATGAACTTCTGGTGTTAGTGTTGAGATTATGTCTACTCTCAGGTCTTTTTCTCTTATTGTTTCTTGTAATTTCCTTTCCCTTATGGCATAGTTAAATACAAATCTCCTATCTCCCTTTCCCATTTTCATAACTTGGATTGAATTCCAGCAGCCATTTATCTATCCACTCTCCTTATAGCACCCTACAGTCCTCTTCAATTCATACTTTGCACCATCTGCAAACATCGACATGTACAAACTCGCTGCCTCCGTGAGGTCATTTACATAAATTAAAGAGAGCAATGGTCTTATAACAGAGTCCTGTAGAACATAACTTTCCACTCCTCTCCAGCCTTACATATCCTCTCTGACTATGACCCTTTGTTTCCTGTTCATCAAGTACTCCTGTATCTAGTCCAGTGCCTATCTTGTAGCCCCCTTGTCTCCCCATCCTGTGTATTAGTCTTTTGTGAGGAACTGTCTGCCAAAAGCTTTTTGGCAGTCTAAAAAGATGCAGTCTACCCATCCTTCCTTCTCTTGTCTTATTTTGGTGACCCTCTCATACAATTCAATAAAGTTTAAGCCTAATTTTTTTCCTCCGATAGAATAATGCACTTCATTTATATTTATAATATATTTATATAAATATTATTGTGTCCATATTGTGTTTGAGAATATAATGTGATGTGAATTTTTTATTTGTCAGTTTCGTCGAAAAGGTCCAAATGAAGAAGGTTTGATATTAGAAGCCGACTTTGCTGAGCTACTGTTAGCATATGGCGGCTATCCACCAAATAAGAAGGCACGAATGCTGAAAAGGGTAAAAAAAGCATTTAAGGTACTGTAAAATACAAACTTTAATATCATTATATAAAGTATGATAAAAATGTTTGATATAATAAACAGTATTACAAAAGTAATCAGGGTTACAAAAGTGCTGCAATAAGTTTAACCGTTCGTGCCGCATTTTATGACAAGAGCTTTACTAAGACATTAAGGATAGTTAAAGCAAATTTATGCTCATATATAATCCCTAGGCAGCAAGCACTTGATCCAAAACAAAACTTAGTTTTCCAGCAAGTTGAAGTATGGAATGTACTTCAGTAAAGGTTATTAAAAGCTGGAAAAACGCACACTTTCTCTTGGTCAGATATGACTGAGAAGGAATTAATCAATGTTTATCTAAATAAAGTAATGCAGAAGTGCCAAGAGGTTAGGAATACCTTGCAGAGACAATGTATTTCAATCAACAGAGGCTCCCAAATTCTGTATTATTTTATATCACTAATTGAGATACCCAATGGTTTTACACAATTTTTTTTTGTTTGAAGTTATTCACATTCAGTTGGCCCCCTTAGGTATGATCCAGTCTTCTGGACAGGATTGTGACAGTCGCAGTACTGACATTGCATGATCATAAAAGATGTTAGGGGGTCATAGTATGAATTCTCCCTTGGGATCACATGAGATTGCCATATGAGTCCTGTAACTAACTGTACACTTCATGTAGAGAAAATTTTTATGGTATAATTGCATGACTGGATAATGATGCAGAATCAATTTTAAAATCTCGATCCAACTGCGTGTGTTTGTGCATGTGTATACATTTACCAGTGTATTCTTTGTTTATTTACATGGTCTTTCAGACTTGTAAAAAGTGTATGGAAAAATTATCAGTGACTTCAGTTGGGGGTTCACACCTTTGCTCTGTATGGTCACTTCAGTCAGTGTTGTTTCCGGTAGCAGAAGGTTGCTAGTCTATGGGTTTGAACCCAACTGTAAGGTCATTAAATATTTTTACCTGCACAATCGTTCATGTACTGTACGTACTCGTATATCCATATGAAGACTTACATTTTCAGGGCGAAACCTCTCAAGGCATTAGCCGTGATGACTACTTGAACTTCTTCCACTTTCTGAATAACATCAATGATGTGGATACAGCCTTGACGTTCTACCATATTGCTGGAGCTTCTATTGATCCAGGTAGATAATTGAATGTGTCCTATTTGCTTATATAAATATCTTTTATGCACATTTTTTTTGTGAATTTCTTTACTAGTAATAAGTTCTATTGCAGCATTGGGGGATTTTGCTTGCCAAGCATTTGCTTCTGTTCCATACATGTTTTCAGTACAAGGCACTGTGTGTTTTGCAGAAGCCAGATCACTAAGTAGAGTTTTTAAAAATAAGTTTCAAGTTCATGTTCAAGTGAACTTAATAATAGAATGTAGTTTATGTGTGGGTCAGATTCCCCATATGGCTGCCTTCCTCAAGGAAGAGGAATTTGGCTTGGGAACAAGGTGTCAAAATCGTTTAACAACTAGAGCTTGTTCAGAGCTCTGACTCTTACTCTCTTTAAGAGATACTGAACCAGATTTTTTGGGAAGTATGCTGACTATTTTTCTGTATAAAATAAGAGTTTCCAACAGTGGGTGATTTGTTATATATTTATATGTACTGTATATAGAAGAGTTCTTACATTTTTGCAAAGCCACTAACACGCATAGCATTTTAGGCAGATCCTTAACCTTAATTTTCCCTGGAAAACAACTTACCAAATTGTTTAACAACCAGGTACCCATTCACTGCTGGGTGAACAGTGTACAGTTAAGAGATGGCATGTCATTCCTCCAATATGTTCCAGTTTCCAGAACAACCTCTTATGTGAAACTGTCGAAAGCATGACATTTACTTGGACCTTACATTTTTAGGTCCAGGTAAATGCATTCAACCTAACCATCTCTTTCCTGTAAAATCTCTGTGGCTCTATCCTAGGAACTAAGTAGATTTATTACACAGGATCTTCCTGATTGAAAATCATACTATCTGTCTGTCTGTTATATAATTTCTCTCCAGGTATTCTACCCATTTGGTTTAATGATTTTTTCTAATATTTTGTCTGTTACACTTGTCAACGATACAGGTCTGTAATTAAGACGGTAGTCGTTGACCAGACCACACACTAGAAGGTGGAGGGACAATCGACTTGAGAATGGTTTAGGACGGACCGAAACGTCGTCGTCCTTTCACCTTCTAGTGTGTGGTCTTGTCAACATTCTTTAGCCACGTTATTGTGACTCATCGCCAGCATAAGAGGGTAGTCGCTGCTGGAACTTTTGTAGAGGAACTATGTTAGCCTTTTTCTATATATCTGCCAAAGGAAAATCATTAAATATGTGATTGGAGCAATCTTAAGAGAGTTACCATTCATACTTAACATTTCCTATGCTCTATGGGCTGATTTCACTGAGCAAAATTATAATTTCAACCTTTTATAAGAAAGGGAACTACCAAGAGAACTTGTGTGTAAAGAGAATTAACCACATCTAGCATATTTCCCATGCCCAAACCTTAAAATCTCATTTTCAAAGGAAAAATGGCACATGTTTTAGTGAACAAAAATCTCTGCCACTGAAAATAAAAAAGAATCATAGAATTTGGCTTTAAATATGCTTGGTGGCTTTTCCAAGGCCCCAACTATTTCTTGCAATGTTGCCTCCATCTGTGAACTCAGTCCCAACATCTTAAGCAAATCTACATTCCCTGCTTTAGCGAACTCTTGTTCGTCAAATCGGGTGAGTAAATCTAGCATGGAAAGTGTGTTCCAACTGGAGATTCCCCAAGTTGAGGTTTGTTGAATCTAAATTTCCTCTGTATTCAGATACAGTATACTGTACTGAACTTTTTTCCCTAGTACCTTATTTGGCTCTTCAGGCATACTGTATTTGAAAAGATCCTTGTTACACAGTTGCCTGAATATCAACATGCATGACTGTTCATGAGTCCTGCCTTTGATACAGTAGAATCTTATCTCAGAGAACAAGCAAATGCTATAGCTTAGATAAGACCATGATGAGCAGAGAAAGTCATGGAGCTAATGAAGTAGCTATCAGTTATTACTGTACAATAACAGTGATCCAGATATCTAATGTATTTTAGGATATACAGTAGAACCTCGAGTGATGACCGCCTCAATTGGCGAGCATTTTGGGTAATGAGCACCCAGATCGCCGATAATTCGTCTCGTATGGCGAGCGCTCGTTTGAGTAATGACAACGCCACATGGTGGGGTCGCACTGCTTCTTGCACATTCTCGGACACCTCCGACGATGCAAATAATTTTTTTTTTATTTTTGTATTTAAAGATGCTAATGATGTTGGGATATAAATGGGTGACTGCTGTGATGTTGCAAAGCATTGACTTTTATGTAGAAAGAAGAAATGATTTTTTTTTTGTAAAAAACAACAAATGTCAAAAAGATTCGTTCGGTGTTTGTCGGGTAGGCTGCTCCATTGAGACAAAAATGAAAAATACAAAACAAATGGAACACATTTGAAACAAAGAAAGATTGTCATTATGGAGCATCCTACCCGACAAACACTGAACGAACCTTTATGGCATTTGTCCGTTTTTCAAATTGTTTTATTTTTTTTTTTTTTTTTTTTTTTTTTTTTTTTTTTTTTAAGAAACATGGAGCAGCCTACCTGCTGAGCACCGAACAAACCTTTTTGACCTTTGTTCTGTTTTAAAAAAAATTATTTTTATTTTATTAAAACATGGAGCAGCCTACCTGCCGAACACTGAACGAACCTTTTGCTATAAAAAAATGGGGAAAAAATTGAACAAATTTGAAGAAAGAAAAATATAAAGGTTTGTTCAGTGTATGTATGGTAGGCTGCTCCATTATTTGAAACATCGAATATCATATTTATATTTTTCGGTGTAGAACGGATTAATTTGATTTCCATTATTGTCGATGGGGAAATTTATTTTGTATGATGTCCGTTTCACGTGACGAGCACGGCGCCGGAACAGATTAAATTCATTATTCGAGGTTCCACTGTACCTCCATAAAAGTAGTATTTGAGTAGTTGTAAAGGCAAGATTTATAAAGTTGGTGCTTCTGCACAGATCTTTTGCAAAGCCAGTGAAGAATAAGAAGAGTTCATGACTCATTTTGTAACCATGGAAAATTCCAAAGGGTGAAGGATTTTATATCTTATCCATGGTTCATTCACCTTTATTGAGGTGTGTTGACTGCTGTCATTCAGAAAGCCAATTTTTTTATGTTACAATATGTCTAGATGGCTTAGTATTGTACTATCTACTTTCAGATTTGACTAATGTTTATTAAGTTGTCTCATCCCATCCTAGTTTAAATAAATGGAAATTTGTATAATTCTTTTAAAGTGTCATAAGTACAGTATTATAAATTTATAAGCAAGATGAATAGCATGTCTCTTCAAAAGAAGTCACAATGTAACTAAAATTAATACATTTTTCAGCCACTCTGAAACATGTAGCCAAGACTGTAGCACATGTTGATCTCTCGGACCATGTTGTCAACGTTGTCTTCACGCTTTTTGATGATAACAGTAAGTACATTAATTGACAGTACTGTAATTAATTGACAGTACTGTACTGTAATTTAATTGACATTACTGTAATTTGAAACTTTTGAATGAAGATGAATAAAGAAAAATGTTTCACATCTAAATATGTTTGCTATTGTGTATCATAGGTCCTAAAGATGCGTGTTTCAACTTTGAAGCAGTTTACAAAAAAAGTTGCAATCAAAATTGTTACATATAATCACTTCCTAGATCTGCTACCAAGGACGGCAAATACAAAAACTTGTAAAACGGATGCAAACTTAAACTGATACATCATACAGTATTATATGACCCAAAGCTTAAATTGATTAAAATTGAAGCATATAGCAAATTAGCAAAAGCATTTGTAAAGTGCAAGTATATATATATAAAATAAATGCCCCTTAAAAACTTAAAATAATATTAGCCTGTGAAACTGCTGACAGGTTATAAAGTTCAAAATTAATATATATTACTATTGTAAAGCATGTGTATCTTACAGCTACCATGTCATTTGGCCTTAGTGACATATATGAGCTATAGTCTGTTACGAGGTTTCCACATATTACCCCAGTTTGTTCAGCTGAACAGTATTTTGACACTTAGCACTGAGCTTGCTTCAATGACTTTAGCAAGTTCTTTCACAGATTAATTAATCCAAGTGAAAACAAATTTGTTGCCAGTTGTGCAAGAAGTGATCTATGCTAAACCCACACTTCAGACAAGAGAAGATTATGATGTTTTGATCCATTCTGAACAATTATGAAGTTAAACATGGTCTTGGATTAACAAAAACATTGTATATTTTCTATAATGTGTAATTACCCAAGTGTAGTCATAGGACGAGAACTACGCTCGTGGTGTCCCATCTTCCCAGCACACTGTCATGTAACGCTTTGATACTATTAACGGCTTTGGCCTCCAGCACCTTCTCACCTAACTTGTTCCAGTCGTCTACCACTCTGTTTGCGAAAGTGAATTTTCTTATATTTCTTGGGCGGCTTGGTTTAGTTAGTTTAAATCTTTGACCTCTTGTGCTTGAAGTTTCAGGTCTCAGGAATTCTTCCCAATCCGTTTTAGTATGGATGTTGATAAGTGTCCTAATGTGACTAAAAATTTTATGGGCACCTACTGTCTGTATAATTTGGAGTCCTATATTTTGTACTGATTCTAGGGGAGCCGGTCGGCCGAGCGGACAGCACACTGGACTTGTGATCCTGTGGTCCCGGGTTCGATCCCGGGCGCCGGCGAGAAACAATGGGCAGAGTTTCTTTCACCCTATGCCCCTGTTACCTAGCAGTAAAATAGGTACCTGGGTGTTAGTCAGCTGTCACGGGCTGCTTCCTGGGGGTGGAGGCCTGGTCGAGGACCGGGCCGCGGGGACACTAAAAAGCCCCGAAATCATCTCAAGATAACCTCAAGATAGGTTCTTTTGACCCCCCCTTGATATAAATTTTGGGTGCTAAAGTTATAATGTGTGATTGTTTATGGTTAACAGTGCTGTAACAATTCGTTTCTGCATTACAGTATTGTACTTAAATTTGTACCGTCAGGTTAAAACAAATTTGAATTATGGTAATTATTGTTTTTTATGTGGAGCTTGCTCTTGGCTATTAACTTAATATTTATTCATACTATATATTTCAGACAAATGTGCTTTAGTACCATACAGTGTAATGTATTACTATAAATATTTGTTGCTTTCCTGGTTGCAGTTTTGGGACGTTATTGCTGGAATTATTAGTTTGCATCTTGTCTGTAGTAACTCGTTAACTTTATCTAGCCATTGATGTTCACAAGATGGCGACACACACTATTGGACGAGTCTTAACATGGTTGTCCAGTACTAGGCTGATAGTAAATATTTATTGTTTTAGAACTGTGGTGTGAAAAGAGCAGTGAAAAATTAATGATGCAAGCTTAAAATATAGAATGAAGAAAGTGGTAGCAAAAATAAAAGGTGAAGACTTTCTAATTTAGGAAATTAGAGACAATAGACAGTGGCATATTAAGAGAATTTGCAGTACTGTACAGTAATAATGAAAGGTAGAGAGGTTTGAGAAGGTGTTTGCAAAGGGTGAGAGATTGTGGTAGAAAAAATGGTGTCAAAATGTAGGTTTCTAAATGTAAGAATTGTTGGAGAAGACTACTTGTCATGCTGTACAATGACAAATTGGGTACTGGATATAACAGTATAGGTAATTTCAACTCTTCATATAAAAGAAACTACTTTAATCATTTAAGATTTTACTTTATGAAACTACAGCTTCAGAATTCAAATAATTATTTCCATTTTTATATCTTATCTAGTGTACTGTATTAACATGTTTAAGATATTGGATCTGTATAATTTTTGTTGTTTTACTATCAACCTAATAACCATTTACTATTTATCCACACAGACGATGGTCAGCTCAGCAATCGGGAGTTTGTTGCTGTAATGAAAAACAGATTGCAACGTGGGTTAGAAAAACCCAAAGATACAGGATTTGTGAAACTTATTGTATCCATGTTTAAATGTGCTGGAGAGACAAAACCTGTTCTTTTGGATATATGAGGAAAGGTTCGTGTGCGGGATGCAGATTTGAAGGAAGAGTGGAAGAGACACTGTGAAGGGTGTAACTGCAGAGGCAAAGGGAACAACAATGAACATGCTCATGAAGGAACAAACCAAGAAGATAAAAAAGAATAATGTTGTATGTAAAGGAAGTACTATATGAAAATAGACACCTGTATGTGCTGGTGCAATATTAATTATATAGAGAGAAGTAAAGGCTAACAATAGAGTAAAATGGAGTGTGAAAAACTGTTCCTGTGAATGTTTTTTAAAAGTAAGTGCAAGTTTCTTACTTATACAGTAGAGTTCTGTTAAAGAGATAAATCTAATTTTTTTGTTTAACTTGTTCAATTATCTAGGTAAAGATGCACATAGTTCATATTTAATCATTTTGAAGAAAGAACAGAGGCATTTTGCTGACAATTACATTAAATTTGTTGTACAGTATTTTATGTCGTTATTGATGAAGGCTTAATACTTAAAAGATGTTCATGATAAGAATGTTAAACATGGAATTTAGTTTAACATACAGTACATATTGATTCTGTAGACAGAAGGTCAGACTAGCCACGACCTTCTTTTTTTAAATTATTGCATTTTGTTCTTATTGTTCTGATATTGTGTATTTGTTTCCTCCATATAATTTATTTATCCCATTTTGCAACAGATTTTTCATTATAAATCACATGGTATTAACACCAAATTTCTGAAATAGTATAAGATACGGATTTGAATAATAAAAAATAAATTTCGACTGCCCATAAAACCATTTGGCTGGATATTAGAATCTCTTTTTCCTTTAACATATTGTCACTAGCTACAGTTGTTCAAGATAATTTTCATGTAATTCACTCTAAACAGTCATTACTGAATTATCAACTTCTGTTTTAATCTTGTTTCATATTGACCCCTTTCAGTTACTTTCCTTTTCCTGCTTTCCAGTATTTTACTAGCATATTCTTACTCTTTTGTAATGTAAGAGTTTCTGTTTCACGTATTTGTTGCTAAGAAACATTATAAAAATAGAAAATCTGCAGTTGGTACAGACATTAAAAGTAGAAATACCTTACAAGTTGTAAAGATTGATATACAGTATTGTTGTATAAAATTATATCAAAATAAACATTAATTATTACAGTTATATATGCGCTATAACTAGATTGTGACACATTAACATAAAGGTATTAAATGGTTGAGGATAGGAGCACTGTTGGGCTTGTTTTGTTTTCCATGTCCAAGAGTGAAGCTGTCTGCACAGTCACTATACATTACTGATGAACCCAAATGATACTTAAACCTATTAAACAACTAATGCACACACCATCGTGTATGCAAATTATTGTAAAATAAATTAGACTACTATAGTTTTGGAAAATCTACTTGGTTTTGGATAAAATAATGATACAGTATGCAAATTTTTTAAATTGATATTGGAATGAAGTAAACTATGTAATAAATATTTTCTTGACATAAAAATGTGTAATAAGCCTTGGCAGACTTCTTGTATTTATTTATACAAGCGAGTGACTGCTGTCTAATGTAATAATGACACTTGAATTTGCCACACTATTTTTGCCAATTAATATTCTTCCCAGTTATTAAATAGTAATTATAATAGGTAGAAGTGAACCTTTTCATGCATGTAGTTCTCTTTCCTAATCATAACTTAGCATTTGAATTATTGTATTTGAACATGAATTTTTGTTTTCATATTAGCAACAAAGGTTCGAGTTTACTTTTATGAAGACTATAATAAGTGTTGATAGAAAATAATATATAAGATTAAAATAGTGTTCCAGGATTTACAAGTTCAAGTTGCCATTCTGTTTAAAGCTGATGGGTTACTTCCATAACTTGGAGCACACTAGTAAATAGAATCATATTTCATAGTAACTATACAATGGTAGAAACTTCAAAAGAAGTCATATGAGATTGAAAAAGTTAATAGATATTGCAGTAAATATGAATTAGTATCAATGTGATAAACTGCTCCAGGTAGGCATGTGCTTTTTAGTGAAAACCTTTTCGTTTGTTTTTAAATGTGTAGGTATGGTGTTATTGTTCATGTTCACTTGTAAATACAGTTTTGTGTGAATTTGCAGAGTACTGTATATAATACATCTATAAACTAAATTAATGTAATTTATAATTAATGACATACCCACTGACTCTCTTATCCTTTTAGTGTGAGTTTGTTAGCTGTAAGATCCCTAGTCTGGCAAATTAACATTACCAAATATGCTACACAAATTTTGGATCATCCAATTTAGCAGCTTGAAAACACTCTGTGCACATGTATTATAATAATAATAATAATAATATAATTAGCAGTATACAGCAACAGGACGCTCACATGATAGATTATTGAGACTTACCCACGTATTGTTTTTGTAAAGCTTGCAGGATGTACAATGTATCAGACAAGTCCAAAGCTGAAATTTATATAAATAATCATGTACCAAATGCAGAGTATTTAGAAACTAAAGAAGCCCTTGGAAATTCAAAAAGTATTCTAGGTGCTTATCAAAACTGAAATGGCTGTTCCTTTCACAGATAACAAATGTGCAAAAATGAAAAATGGCTGTAGGAAACAGATATGGTACTTAATAATGTGGAGTCATCCTCAGACCCCCCTCCCCTCCCCTCCAGTATCTAAAGTTATGTCTCCAACAAATGGATCGGATGGCATATTTTATGTTTGAGATTTATCAAATGCTGGAGAGTACCAGGAAAATGCCAATAAAAGTTAAACAAATTTGTTTAATAAATTATTTGCCTATTATTAGTAGCTGGGAGTAATGAATAATGTAAAGTCCTTGCACGTGGCCTCTGAGGTAGAACTCTAATACCTTTGTGCAATTAGGTCAGAACTAGTAATTCCAATCTAGGAAATAGGCTGACAGACTTGCTTTGTTGTCACAGTTAATCAAACCATAATGGCTAACCAAAATGTGTATTTAAACTTCTGGAGTTAGCACTGTCATTCACCTGCCACATATTTTCCTTAGAGGCACAGACCTCTCGAGGTGTCAAGAATACATTAAGACTATTTTAGCATGCCATGAACATGCCTTTGTCAAGGTTAACAGACCTATGCTCCTCATGGAAAATGATCATGCCCCCCACCAACCTGCAGGGGATGGGGCACCAATCAACTTTTCATACAAAAACTAGTAGGGTAAGGCTTAAGAAGTGGTTGGGCACCATTCCTTTTCCCTGTCCCATCCCAAATCCTTATCCAGCCCCTTCCAAGTGCTATAAAGTCATAATGGCTTGGTGCTTTCCCCTGATAATTAAAAAATTAAGATGAGCTATGGGAAGGCAGAGCCTTAAGCCTGATAAGTCTGAAGGTTTTTTTCCTGTGCTCATTTATATCAAAAAATAAACCCTTCAAATCCTTGGACAAATCCAATGCTATGTTCAGGAATATATTCCAGCGTAATGTATGTTGAAAATTTGACCATGATGCCTTTTTTTTTTTTTTTCCTACTTGTGGGGAGTTGACCACTTGCTACCTAGCTCACAGAATAAATTGTGGCAGACATCACCCAGCATTTTCTTAGTTCTGTTGTCATTATAAGTTGGAACAACCTATCTTTCACCATAAATTCAAGGCAAACCTTCCTTCATCTGAGGCAAGGTGTCCAATAAAAGGTCTGGCATTCTTTTTAACTATCACATATGCTTTGCATTGTTTATATGGCACCCTCAATTCAACCTACATCCTGTTTCCCATTTTGCAAATGTTTTAATACCTTCACACAAGTCTCCTCGCCAGGGGAAATTCTATTCCGTGTCCCTACCCAGTCTTTTTTTTTTTTTCAGTCATCTAGACAGCTGTTCAAGCATTCACATTTATTCCTACCTCACCTCCTCTAGCCCTTCTGTTATGTTCATGGTAATGCCTCCTGTTCCCACATCTCTCAGTAACCCAATTACTGGTACGGATATCTTTGGGCTTCATTTCGACACCCAGATTTCTTCTTAACCTGTTACTCTTGGCCTTCCTCCTATACACAGTACAAACCCCTCCCAACATTTACCTCTATCTAAAATAAGTGACAACATTGAAGACACACGCTCTTCCCCTCATGCCCCCACCTTCCAGCCAGAAGAAGAAACCTGATTCCTCATCTTTAACACTACTTTTCTTACTACTTTGTAATTGCTCTCACCCCCATGGGATAAAATTTTCATCAAACCAGTCTTGGAATATGAGTTTATCTCAGCACAATTTTTAGGCTTATAAATCATAGGGAGAAATTTGGTTCTTAAATGCTCTTGAAGATGACTTTCATATTGACCTACAATAGACACAGATGTGTTCCAGTTGCTTTGTCATCTAACACACAGGAGCAAGGCCAGCACTATAGGCAGGTTTTTTAACATATATAAGCACACAGTACAAAGACTATTTTTTTTTCCATCAACAGGCCTCGGGGAAGACAAAAGTCTCATGCGCTGCCTGGAAACGAGGTGACTTGGGAGGAGTCAACAACCCTCTCAAACCAGCTTTCTCTGGTGGGGTATGGGAAGATGCAAGGCGACCCCAGGGGAAGGTAATCCTGGCCACTGTAAAAGTAAAATGGAACACTAGGGTACATACAAAATGAGTGGCATAAACAGTCAAGAAGCATTGATAAAAACAAAGCAATTACTCCCCCTGGCAGCACTAGTGTTACAGGGAAAGCCAGCACCACTTAGCTGAAAGTGAACATCTGTTACAGAGGCAATGGATATTGAGCAGGTGATACCAGGAGGAAGAGTGAGGATGACAGGCTGAGACTCCTAGGTCACCTGGGATGCTGTCTGGTGGCAGCTGGGCACATAAAGGTTTGGGTGTTTAAGTCTGTTGCAATACATAATTGTTTGTCTTATTTACCTACGAGTGCCAAATTTCTTTACATCAGTCACTTGATTTGTTTCCCTTATACAGTACTTTGTTTTCTTGGATATTGATTTTGGGTTGAACTGATCCCCCAAGCTTTTCTTTGTCTCATAGAATGAGTCAGAATCTAGTACTACTTTCCTTCTGGTAGGTTCAAGTAGCTATTGAGGGGGGTTCTTACCAGAAAGGACTCTGGGAAGAGTCACAGAAATAGGTACGAGGTGTGAGGGTTTGAAGGAGGTATAATTGATGATTTTTGGTGTTACTGCTTGGGGTGACATTTAATTTTGTTGGTAGCAGGTGGAAGCATTTACTATTTTCAAGGTCATTAGAGTTTGACTATTATTACACAATTTCAAAATATTTTTCTAGACACCTATGATAAAGTTGCATATTGCATCGTTGGGCCCATTTCTTTGGAGTCTCCACTATCATCCTTAACTCTTGCACTGCTAAGCATGAGGGGCCAGGGAGCAAAAAACCAGCGTTGAATGTAATGAAACCCCATTTTCTGGGTGAGTCCCGGAGGCTCCCCGGAGCTCCCCCAGAAAATATTTGAATTATGTAAAAATTACTTAAAAATGTTAAACAAATCTCCAACTCATTGGCTTTAGCGTCGTGAAACTTTCATCAAAATATTTTCAGAAATTGATTTTAGATGAATTAAAAAAAAAAAGAATGTTCTGTTGATAAGGAGAACAGCTCCTATTAACTGAAACTGATGGATAATGCAGTAATAAAGAGATGCAAGCACATGTCTGATGCACAAAGAAGAAAAATAGTAATAAAAATTGTCCACAAAGTGGATATGCAGCTGGTACTATTTATCAGAGATCTTAACCACTTTCAGTTGCACCTGGGGACCATTCAGGCTTGTTCGTATTTGTGTTGCTCACTTGGCCCCAAAAAATGAGGTGATTTGATAAAATAACTATGCCCAAGATTAACATCAAAGTGCTGCCAGGAGGATAGGCAAATATCCTCAGCTACCATCATCTTTTGTATGGTCGTGATGGTCGAGTGGTTAAGGTCTCCTGTACACCAGTTGCAAAGTGCTCCTGGCAGTATGGGTTCAAGTCACTTCTGGAGTGTGGAGTTTTCAGTTATATATATACAGTAGTAGTAGTAGTAGTAGGCATCCATTAGTCTCAGGAGACTATGGAGTTGCGCTCTGGTGTCGGCCTGGTCTGGAGTGGCCTCACCAGGGCGCAAAGCCAGGGTAGGTTGATTCGGGGGAGAAGCTGTTACCCAGGCAGCAGGTCCCCCCTCTCCACGGCGCTGAAAGTCTCCAATGGAAAGGCATACGCCAATACGATTGGTTCCAGCGCCGTCGCAGGAACTGTGAGTTCCGGGGATGACCTTGAAGTTGGTGAAGAAGGGCACAGGGATCTCCAATCCTGGAGACCGCCATGGTCGGGGCCGGAGAAGAACCACCCCATCAAGGGTATGAACGACCCCAGCCTCTTGAAGCAGAGCCTGGGCCGCACGACCCTCGGGAGGTGGACGTCTCGGTCCCGCACAGTATGTATGTGTATGTATATATATATATATATATATATCTAACCTACCTAACCTACCTTTTTTGGCTACCTAACCTAACCAAACCTATAAAGATAGGTTAGGTTAGGTTAGGTAGGGTAGGTTAGGTTAGGTAGGGTTGGTTAGGTTCGGTCATATATCTTCGTTAATTTTAACAATTTTAACTCCAATAAAAAAAAATTGACCTCATACATAATGAAATGGGTAGCTTTATCATTTCATAAGAAAAAAATTAGGGAAAATATATTAATTCAGGAAAACTTGGCATATTAGGCAAATCGGGCCTTGCATAGTATAGTAGGCCGAGAAGTGCATTCTGGCTACTAGGTACGATATATATATATATATATATATATATATATGTCGTACCTAGTAGCCAGAACGCACTTCTCAGCCTACTATGCAAGGCCCGATTTGTCTAATAAGCCAAGTTTTCATGAATTAATTGTTTTTCGACTACCTAACCTACCTAACCTAACCTAACCTAACTTTTTTGGCTACCTAACCTAACCTAACCTATAAAGATAGGTTAGGTTAGGTTAGGTTGGGTTGGTTAGGTTCGGTCATATATCTACGTTAATTTTAACTCCAATAAAAAAAATTGACCTCATACATAATGAAATGGGTAGCTTTATCATTTCATAAGAAAAAAATTAGAGAAAATATATTAATTCAGGAAAACTTGGCTTATTAGGCAAATCGGGCCTTGCATAGTAGGCCGAGAAGTGAGTTCTGGCTACTAGGTACGACATATATATATATATATATATATATATATATATATATATATATATATATATATATATATATATATATATATATATATATATATATATAAGCCTATACTTGCATAAACCACAAGTGAAGATAAACAATCTTTGGACAACACCCACCAGTGGGACTCGAACCCAGAAAGCACGACTACCTTCCAGTAGCTGGCATAACTAGTATGCTTTAACCCACTACGCCATCAGACCTTACAAAAGAAGTAGATAGTTCGAGATATATATATCTCAAACATCTCTACCTCCCGAAGGCACCAGATGAGTGAGGGGTCAGTCTGCATTTTTCGTCAAGCCACTGTCAATGTGAGAGAACTCGTGTCCAGCTTATAAGCCTATACTTGCATAAACCACAAGTGAAGATAAACAATCTTTGGACAACACCCACCAGTGGGACTCGAACCCAGAAAGCACAACTACCTTCCAGTAGCTGGCATAACTAGTATGCTTTAACCCACTACGCCATCAGACCTTACAAAAGAAGTAGATAGTTCGAGATATATATATCTCAAACATCTCTACCTCCCGAAGGCACCAGATGAGTGAGGGG